GTTTCTCTTATTATAGACAACTTTTTGGGGCAGAATGACTGGTTCTTAGTATTGACAGGCACGTAAAGTTATTGGTTGGTCACAATGGCTGAATTGGTATGGATGGTGAGCTTGGTGGGAGTGGGCTTACCTATGTATCAAATGGCTGGCTGATGGATACGACTTGATCATGGCTGCTGTGAATCTGATAAACCTTTATGAGCTGAGTGGGTTGGAGTAGGTATACCACCATAGAATATCACTGAATGTGCTAACAGAACATAAAGTGTAGACTGGTATTTGGGTCCACCCAATTGCAAAGTTTGTTGCTGTTGTTGATAGCATATTGATTGGTGACCACCAAGAAATCCAAGTTTCAGCTGTCATCTCTCTGGTTGGTTTGTGTCCTAGGTGATCAAAATAAATAATACACAAGCCCATATGTGTCAAAATAGATTCGATATTGCATATTTGTGCTAAATAGAATATCGGACAGCCCTTATGTGTCAAAATAGAATATCTGATAGCCCTTATGTGTCAAAATATAATATCTGACAACCCTTATGTGTCAAAATTGAATGTCGGACAGCCCTTATGTGTCAAAATAGAATATTTGATATCCTTTATGTGCCAAAATAGAATATCTGATAGCCCTTGTGTGTCAAAATAGAATATCCGACAGTCCTTATGTGCTAAAATAGAATATCTGACAGCCCTTATGTGTCAAAATATAATGTCTGACAGCCCCTATGCATCAAAATAGCATATCTAGTAGCTCTTATGTGTCAAAATATAATATCTGACAGCCCTTAGGTGTCAAAATATGATATCTGATTGCCCTTAGGTCTCAAAATATAATATCTGACAGCCTTTAGGTCTCAAAATAGAATATCTGACTGCCAATATGTGATGAAAAGGAATATGTGACCAAACAGTATTTTCTCACTGGTTGAGTATCCTTGTGTAAACACTGTACAGCACTGGAGGGAGTGAATCTGGTAGCCCAGTGAGATGTGTATCAAGGCTTTTGTGGATGGAATCATTCGGTCTTATCCACTCTTAGATGCTATCAGTATCACTCTGATACTTATTGTGACTGTTGAACAGATGCCTTCTGGCAATAAAACCAATTCCCTCATCAAGCAAAAGGCAGTGGTCTGTTTTCCCTACACACTTCCAGGTTGTTAGGTAGTGCAGTGTTTGACGTGTTCACTTGTCACACAAAACACATGGATGTCCCACATGTAGGAGGACCATTTTTACTGCCTGTTTGTGCCATAATGCATGAATATTTGACAGAAATCTTACAAGAGGAATCAAAGTCTGCTGAAATATTTCTGCAAACTAGTGTATTTAACAAATTCAAGCCAACCACTTCTGGAATAAGGCCTCACCTGAAAATTGTAACCTAACTGTTTTATTTAGAATACTGTAGTTTACCTGAGTTGTATTTGTGATGTTGAGAGGATTTGTTGCAAATTCAGGATGTTTGTATTTATATATATACTATAAGAATAAATTTGACAATAACTGTTTTAATCTTTTTAATAGCATTTTTTCCCGATAGAATATTCATAAATACATATTTATATTTACATGTACTGTATATAGGAATTTTAATAACTTAAACATATGGTATTTTGTTGTATTCAAACCTTCAAACATATTACAGCTGAAATCATTTTTACTTCAGACTGACAGACTTTCTTTCTGATAAGTTAAGCAATCAAGTTTTCAGTTAAGAACAGACATAAACTAGATACAAATTACTCTATAAGTTTTAGGTGTTATTGCCCCCAAGCCTCTACCTTGAGCCTGTGATGGTGGCCCCCCAGGAATGAGGGAGGATACATACAAACATCTTGAAACTCTTGTGCTCATCACATACACATAGCTCACAGACTCCCCAACCAAACCAGTCTTCATGCTTTTGTCTGTAGCTCCAGAATCAGGGATAAAATATTCCACAAAATATTGTGCTGGGAAATGATTTGCTAAAATGGTATTTGACCCATTGTCATTTTTGTTGGGGGACCTCAAATAAAACCCTGATGATTAATGTTGCAAACTTCTGAAACTGGAGCAAGCTGGTCTCCATACTGTAAAAGTTTGTATTTGACTGATACTGACAGGATAACCCAGTCATAACCAAAGTGCTTGATAGGGTATGAAATTCATGAGGATAGTCATCCTAGGTGATCAGTAAGGTATCCCCACGGGATAGTTAAATTAATCTGGATAGTTTTTCAGCAGATATTTTCACTGTTTTATTAAAAAGAAAATGAGCTACTAGAACATAACATTTTTTGCCCCTTTGTTTATGAACAGAAGATCCCATGTTATAAGATTGTATTTCCATATGCTAAAGAGATTTTACTTTTTCACAAAGTGTCTTTCATAAATCAACATAAACTAAAACAGTATTCACCCAACAAGGATTCTGTAAGTCCTGCTTACATTACACTCTCACCCACTGGCCATATGAAGAACTATGTCCGTTAATGCACTGTCTGTGATCTGGGTACGTGAACCATATGCATTTGTGTGATTCAACACAAAGAGATTCCTTTTCAAAATAATAAGCTACAGTTGTCTGTGAAGCAAGAAGTTTGTGGCTTGTTGTGCATTCTCAGGGGATGACTTAGATAGAAATGATGCTGGCAGCAATTGTGGAGGTTGTGTGATGAATCACAAAGATCACGCACAGCCACCACCGTAAAGCCATAGACAGAGTTGGGGAACACTGGGAAGCTTGCCTGCACATCCTTTGCTTACCTTTGACGTTTAAAGGCTCTTTTTCTTCTTTAAAAAAGAACTTTTTTAACAAAGTATAGCGGTTGATTTCCAACCTTACTTAGATCAAGATCATCACTATGATGAACAACTTCATGGTACAAACCACACATTCTCTTTATTGTTCGCCCTATCCTTCCCTAACTTTCTGGTACAGGGTCTCACTTTTTGTTTGTAACTATGGCAACACTTGTTTTGTTTTATGGTTTGTAGATATAGTTGACTGAAACCAAGAGCCCTTATTAGAAGATACAACAGAAGTTGTTGGGATTCCTTTTTAACCGCAAGAGCAGTTTATCTTTGATGGATTAGAAACATTAGAAGATGCAGTAGACATATTTGTTAATAAGGGACTGTTCATAATTTATGGCTATGGGGGGTGATGATGCTTTTTTTTCTGCTTTTTTTTTTTTTTGGTCACAATTCTGAAGTGGGGGAGCAATTTTGTACACATATACTGGGTGGGTCAGCAATATTGTACATAATTATTAAAAAGTTCAGCTTAAAAATTATGGGAAGGGTGATGGGGTCATTAATTTTGTACATGATATGCAAGGGTGGGGTGGGGGGTGTCACTTGCTTTGCACGTAAATTTTAGGGGAAGGGGGCATTCACATTGTACATATTTCTCAGAAAAATCATCATCACTCCCCCCTTGCCACAAATTATGAACGGTCCCCAACTGGCCATGGTCTGTAAGTCTCAGGCTTTGACAGTTGTCTTTTAAAGGGAACAAAGCTTTCTAAGATGAAAATACTTAAACATGTTACAGTATGACTGAAGCTCTTTCAGGCCATCTTTTCATGAGAACAATCTGTTGTCGGTCACGTCACTAGGCAAGCAACCAGTCTTTGTGAGAACTGATACAACTCCATGTTAGTCAATGTATGGAAACATTTAAATAGTCACAGCTGTGGCAATGAACAGAAAGCGGCAAAATGATGATGAACACTTCATTATGGGTAGCTATGGTGTCTGATGACTTTAGCTTATGGACACTTACAAGTGATCCCATTGGAAAAGAAAACAATTGTGCATAGTCAACATGTGAATATTAATGTAAAACTGTAAACATGAAAATAAAGGGTACTCGAGAAGATCTTCTTCAGGAATTGATTTTTTCACTAAACTTTCAAAACAATTAACGGCAGACCTGTAAAACAACTGGTTTGGTTGAAGTGTTTCTTACAAATAGTGTTTGAAATGTTCAAATAGCAACATGACAGCTGTGACGCTACCTTTGGGTTGACTTCAGTATAAACATACAAAAAGTGAACTTATTTTGCTTGGTGAAATTGTTTTTCTTACAAACCTAGAGGGAATATATTTTGTGTGCATTACCCGTTCACACTAGATATAGAAAGATTACTACAGCATTGCGATACAAAGTGGCATACATACTTCTCTGATGGAAATACCATCACATGTTCTCAGGTGTGAAATTGTTTTAGCTTTGATCTGGAATAGAGGTAGAAGTATATATGATAAAGTTAGTGAAATCTGGGCAGGTGATACTTGCTTCCTGCAGAAAATGAGTAAACTACATTCCTATTTTCTTGCTGCTGAGTTATGTACATGCAATTGATCAAGTTAATTATCCTTAACAGCTTTGCAAAGATGAAGTGTTATTATGTTTGCAAATGAAGTAATTTCTTAGTGTGGCACATATTCTACCGGAAGGGCTTGGTCCATTTTATAATTTTCATCACCCTCTTTACGAACACAGAAGGAAGTGATAAATTTATCTTGATTCAAGATGTTCCAGTATTGAAGATGATTCAAACTAAGCACACTGAATGAATATTGCTGATGATAAATCAATCATTTTTAACAGGAACAGCGCAATATTGGAAATATTAATTTATTCTCTGATATTTTGATGGTGCATATTTAAGCCATGTGGAAATTCCCAGTTTTTGCTCACTGTATTGCCATGTATATTATCACCATATTAATCCATGATTAGTTGAGATAGCTTTAGCCATGACATATTAATCATATGGTGGCACAGCTAACAAATCAGGTGAAGTGAAGCAACACTAGTTGCAGTCTGTGTTGGATGACCATGTTCATGTTGCCAGTGTTCACCCAGTAGTGAAAGGGTACCAAGTAGGATGAGATTGCAATGATGCTGTTAACCTCCTAGTGCCTCACACCACTGGGAGATGAGAAAGAAATTCATTCACATACAAATGAGCTGTTATTATTATCTAAAATGTTTGTTGCAGGTAATGCCAAGTGGGTTGTGTCCATCTGCACCTCCATCAGCAGGGGTCTTCATCACCTGCCTCAAGCTGTGCAATGCATCCTGGGATAGTACCCGAGCAGCCCTGACAGAGCCTATACCAGGTGGTCAGGAGACTCAGCAACTACCCCCAGTTTGGTTCAAGCCAGTGGAAACAAGTGCCCCAACAACAGATTCGAAAAGCACCATGTTTCCATGTCCACTGTTCCTGTCTTCAAACCCAGAACTACATGGTGACAACAGTGTGGTGCATCATGTCAACCTACCAACACTTGAAGAACAAGGATTATGGATTCAGAAACGTGTGTACATGCTGTCTCACACATAATACAGACGTAACTTCTTGTCAAGATATGTCCACGACAGACATTGCTTTACAATTGTCAGAACACTGTGATGTGCTTTATTAATTTGACATATATTGTCAGATCGTTATATTTATATATATATATACTGAGGGAAACAAATAAGGGAACACATGAAAACAGTAGTGTTCCTTTATTCTTTTCCAGGATTCTTCGCAAGCTTTGTACGGAGGGTAAAAATCTGAAAATATATGAATGAACACTGCAATGAAGTGGTGTTCCCTCAGTATATATAAATAACAAAATGTTACCAACTTGTATTATGTAATTCCATCCGTCCAAACCCTGTTGAAATTGTATATAGAATGTATACTGATGTGTAGCTATAAGAAAGATGGAGACCGACAGAAGTCCAAAACATGCCAAACAATAAAATTCCACCAAATATGAGTATTTGTACACAGCTTTTATTGCTGTCACCATGAGCAGCCTTTATATACTGAACAAAGATATCCACCCAAATATTCATGATTGAGAGCTTTTTTTTTTTGTTCAGTGTATTTTTACTTGTACAAAAGCCATGTTTCAAAATATAACTTTGAAGTATTATCTTATCACATGCATTTTTATAGCAATAATACAAAACCAGGTCCAAATGTAAACCTAAGGCATTTCAGTATATTTTCTACTGCTGCAAAAGAAACACATCTTATGGTGTTGGTCATGTGCATACTGAGTATCATTGCATATCTGTGATAATGTGAAACTTGCACTGCTTGTCTTTTTAATTCTTTTTGTGAAACAGATTTGTTTCTTCATTGTATATCAGTGTGAATACCAGTATATGAATATTAAATGAACAATTACATAATATGCAAAGTGTTGTTCTGGACAATGGAAGTGTGCAATGAGCACTGCACCCATAAGGACATGGGACAAGTCTCTATGGTATGTTGGACTTTTCAATATTGTCACAAGTGCATGTTTGAGAAAGCAAATTGCATTATCATTTCCTTGGACAATGACCATATGCCGGCCCTTACGAGAGCTTAATGAGATGTTGCGATACAATACAAAGTACCTGTCAAGATCCGGGTTAGAACTGGTCCTCAGAAACCAATGGTTGTTGTAAGAGGCAACTAAAGGGGATGGCTCAGACTCTGACGATAAAAAACTTCATCATATTCCAATTGCGTATAGATTGATGCTTACTAATGATGTTGATCACTGGACTGTCTGGTCCACACTAGTATATTTACAGACCACCTCCATATAGCTGGAATATTGTTGAGTGAGGTGTTAAATAACAAATGATGTTCAAATTGTAAAAGCTCCTGATTTACAAGACAAATATAACGACCACCCACCAGTACATGAAATAAACTTATGAACGCATATATCCATGAACACATTTATTCTTTGAAGATTTTCACATTCATCAAATGAGTACACATAAATTACAGACACTCTTACAGTCACAACCAATTTCTGATGTACAGATGCAACAATCACTTTTAGCATACACAGTGGTGGTGACTAGATGATCACAGGGAGTATCTGTCACAATACAAATATGGACGTCAAAATATCTTTCCTTGTCAGGAGCGCATAACTGCAAAATGCAGCTTTGGTTATAACAAACTATACATTTCTTGTTAGGTCTTTTTCTCAAATTTCTCATCATTTTCCTCAAAACATGTAATGAAATAGTATTTCAGGATCAATGAATGCATGCATATAAAGTGCTGCTGAGACTAAGATCTTCAAATTTATGGCCATAAAAAATCCTAAATCTGAAATGGTGCAAGCTGGGTTTGTCTTTTTCCAAAACCCCAATAACATTATTTCCAAATTAATACATAAACTATTGTTATTCTGACTGCAACATTACACATCAGCCATATTAGGCTCATTGTCTGCACTGTCTAATCCCAGGACAAAGCAATGTAGCTCCATAATATAAATCAGTGCTTAGAGATCCTGAAATTTCAATCAATGCAAAGGCTGTTATGTCATCATCAATATATATCCACATCATAATCAAAACATACATCAATATACTTATCAGAACTGACAATTAAAAAATAGATCACATTTGGTAACAAAAACGTCTGCATCAAAAAAAGAATATGTTTTGATAATAAAATTCTCTATAAAAAAAGATATAAATATAGACAGCATACCCATCTGAATTAAAGTAAATTTCAACATATCATAATGATGTATAGATTGAATACACTGGTTCAAGAACAAGTGTACATTCACCCTGCAGACACAAAGAGCAATTGACTAATCAAATACCACTGACTAGAAATCAGACAAAACTAGTGAAAACCCACCTCAAACAGGCAAATGTCTGGACATTACAAACTTTTTCCATACAAAGACGAGACTAAACATCACAATCAGATTCTGCTGGCTATATCTACAAACAATGTACAAGCAATTATTGCTTCAGTGTCATAGAATGTTTCTAGGGTTGAGTTAGAACAGAAATAATGTACCAGTTAATCATGAATGGGCATGTGAAACCTTTGTATTTGGACATCATGTCAATATCCGCACTTCACTTAACCATGGTTCTATCACTTTGGGGCCAGCAGAGACAGCATTAAAAATAAAATCAATGTAAAGATGATGTCACATGAGGTCTTATAATTAATAACCACTTCTGGCATTCAACAAAACTCCAAATGAGACAAACCTATTAACTTGTACATATTGGTTATGACTGACTGACTGAGTTTGGTTTTACGCCGCTTTTAGCAATATTCCAGCAACATCACGGCAGGGGACACCGGAAATGGGCTTCACACATTGTGCCCATGTGGGGATTCGAACCCGGGTCTTCGGCGTGACGAGCCGACGCTTTAACCATTAGGCTACCCCACCGCCCCTCATATATTGGTTACGAATTTCAAGTTGCGGATGGTGAGCCAGGTGTTTTTCTCCCCATAAGCCGGCCCTGCTGACGACACCAGAGATTATTGCTTTGGCAATTTTCCTGGACAAAGCATAGATCTGCCCCTTTTTACTAAATAGAGAAGGCCCACTTCATCCGTACAATATTTGTCTTTGGTAAGGTCTACAGTATACAAGAAAAATGGCAATTACTTTGCTCTTTGCAAATATGTTAATTCAGATTTCACAGTTATTGTGTGTATAAATACACCATTTTATATCCTCGCAGGGATTGGGATAGAGAACTTTGACAATGGGCCATTTTCAAGATTATTAGCCATTTTCTGTATTTAGAATGGGCCACTGCCCTTGTATCAATAGTCGACTTAATGGGCCATTTAGTATTCTAATGTGCAAAATGGCCCATGGTCCCTGCCTTTCCCAATCCCTGTCCTTGAAATAATGCCATCAATCACAAACTTGTAACCATATTGTATCAAGTTTCCAAAGTGTGTCTGACAAACAAAATCACATTCTCCCCAAATGTTCAAATCACCATTATGCCCATATCTAGTCGTGATTCTAATGTAGTTTGTCAGCGATTTCGTTTGGAATAGAAACTGTGCGACAAAAAAAAGGAAAAGAAAGAAAGGCATATTGTGAAGTGTGCCATGAATACTTTTGTTGAACTTTACCTCGTTGGACTGGCTCTGCAATCAGACTTAAAGACTTCCACTTCAGTTGAATACATGAAAATATTAATGAACAAAAGTCACATATCAAATTCAACAAAGCCATATCTTGGCATTGAATAATCTACAGTAATAACCATCATGTATCTCCTGAAATCACAGCTATGAACACAAATCCTGAAATGACTATGGTTAATTTCAGTTCACATTCGAATACATAAAATATAAAGTAAAGATAACATTGTTCTTGTTAACTCCTTGCTTTCAAATTATCAATACCTACTAGGTTCATAAAGTGTTCATACTTCTTAGTTCTGGACTAGGAAAATACTTTCATTTGATGTTATGGGCTGGATTGTGGTGAAAACCAAATGGGTTCCAGATGTACTAATTGGGCACATTACTACACTGGCATAGTATGAACTTAGCCCAAAATAATGTACTGATTCTGAAGGCAAGGAGATAACTTACATAATTCCACATAAATGAGACCATAACATTTTTAACACAAAGGCAGGGAAACTGGCTCTCTGGAAAATAATTACCAAAACATTGTTGGAGATATCTGATATTATCTGAACCATTATCTTTTTGTTGTTGAGGAAAACTATTTCAAAAAGCCACTTGTCTATTTATGCTAGAAAGCATAAAATTCAAGTGAACAGAAAATATTAATAGTTTAAAAATGTCGGCATGTTTATTGTTTGGTTTTTAACACCTGGTACCCAGGATGCAGTTTTCCTCTCTTTGCCTTGTGCTTATCACAACCAGGTGCCGTCAGAGCACAAACAACTGACATGGAAAGACTAGACACTAGGAGTGATGCATTTCCTTTCTGTGGTGCAGCCAGGGAAATAGTGACTTACACTCTATCTCTTGTTAATTGGTCAGGTGCAGGGATGTAGAGAAATATGCTTTCCAAATATGTGGTACATTAGTAGCACTGATGTTTGATAAACTAGGATTATATACAATTTGTATATAAATAACATAAGCAATATGTCAAGAAAATGACAAGTGACAATTATAATTCACCCACAATAGTTTCCAGAAACATTAAAAAATAGAGTATGATAATATTGCAGGCATTTTGTTTAAAGACTAGATTGGGATTTGGTTCCAATGTGTCTGGCATTTTAGACTCGAGTGTTCTACTGGGTCCATAATGATTCTCATTTTCAGAATGTCCTATCATAACTTCAAATCCTTCCATCCTAGGAAGGTTTCCGGTGTCTGAGTTTGGCTGCACCACTGTATAAAGGATTCAATACAACATCCCATACAACAGAACCCTGTTGAAGCAGGCATGAAAACATAACAAAATGAAATAAATAATACAAGTATTCAAGATGTGGTATCATGATAAACATATATATGAGGAAAATGACAGATAAACCCTCAATATAATAAGTAACTTCCAAAATATATTATATATATCTTCTATTTCTGTGGATATTGTCAAGTAATTTTGCTGACGGTTTTGTATCTGGTGTATATATAAGCTGATTATCAACCATGAAATATAGCCAAAATACTTTGACTTCCAAGAAGCACAACCGACCAGTAAAAACACAATACTCAAATGTTAGATGTTGAAACGTCAAAATGTGGTATGTTCACCAAACACAAAATAAATGCATATGCTATGAATTTGCACAACATGCAAATATGAAAGCTATAAAAAGCAAGTTTACAAAACAGTGTGTCGAGAACTACTGCACAGGACAATGTGGGACATAAAACAAAACAGTGACAAAAACGTAACACAAACAAATGATGGAAGGATGAAGGAGCAGAACACGAGGGATGTAACGATGTTGACTGGGAGCGTGATACAACACTCACAATTAAAAAGTTCAAATACCTTTGACCAAAAATTTGATTTTCTCACAGTATGAAACAAAGCTGTGGTATGATTTCAATAAAAAAAATGGACAACATTTAGAGTAGTTGTATGTTTAGCAAACCTTGTTGAAATCTATTGTATCAGCTACTGTCACCATATGATAAATCTATCATCATTCCGTTACACCCCTACAGCACACTGATGGCACAATGTATGATTGCATGATGTAACAACGCAGGCTCAAATCTTAACTGGACCATCTGTTTACCCTTGCCCAGCACAAAACAATTGCCAGCTGGTATTCCTTGGAGCTAATTTCAGTCAACACTTCACGAATTGTAACAAAACCGTAAATGAACTGTAAACCTATGAAGCATATTTGTGTAAGCAGTTGAACTTTATCTAAATTCACTATCACTATGATTCTACATTATTTGAAAGGTTTATTAATACCATGCTCTAATTATCAAAACTTACTTGCCAAACATAAAAATAACTTGAACCATATCCTTGATTATAAGCCTCTGACTGCTTGAATTAATAAAAACTTCCTGAGAGTGAAATTCCACACTTTCCATGAGGCACAGGACAGGTTGCTATTTCTATTTTATTCTTTTCATCAAGCTCCATTCCGCCAAAGTAACATTTCCAGAAGGCCAACAGCATCCTTCTATGAACACAAATTTGTGTAGTTTAGTACCTAGTTCCATTTCACTTGTTAAAACAATTATTCATGTATATATCAGTACTTGACCTGGATGTGAAAGTTAAGGGAGGGTGCAACAATGAGTAGAAAACTGGATCTCAGAAATACATCATTATTGTCTGACAATATTTTAAGGATACAAGGTGAAGTGAAGGGTAAACAAATGGCTTCCTGATTTGGCCTTTAACACTAGTTACGACAAATCTCAATGCAGGTGTACTGAGGTATTCAGTGTTGCTTTTCACCTATGATAGACAAGTGTGGCTGCCCAGCCTGGAAAAGGCACTGGCTCAAATATTCACATTCAATGTACAAAAATAAAAGTGTCATATTCATGATTTATCTTAAACTGGGTACAAGGTCAGCATATTTCTTCATGTTGAGACATCAAAATTAGCACTCTTAAAAGTGTTGGATCCAAAAATATTTCTTAATCCCTCCAGCTGGTCATGTGTACAAATGACCAATCTTTCTTCTTGTTAAAACGTTACAGTAATCATCATTCTTAACTTTCCACGAAAACACAGAACACAAATCCTTTGTGTAAGAATATTCAACAAGATGAGATTCTTTTACAAATAATTTCAATTGAGCTGTGATTTTTTCCCGTTACATATTTCAGTTGGAGCTGGGATTAAGATGTGGGGCTTTCATGATGCCCTCATGACAATGTTCCCCCGTGTCGGAGGCCCCGCCGTACACAGAGCCAGGCGACAGCATCACTCGCTGTACCTTGTGGCCATGCTTCACAAGAATTGTAGGGCTACTGTAAGAGCGCCTAGTAATTGCTACATTTCTCTTCAAGTTAGCGACAGTGGTGGCAGTATTGGATGCAGGAGTATGCATAGGAAGCACGGTTGTAACAGGGGTCTGCTCAGAAGAGGCGAGACTGTTAGCGTCAGTAACATGCATGTGATTGGCCAACGGTGGCTGCACTGGCACCACACCAGTACCCTGAAGAGAAAGGGGGGATGGCTTTAAACACTAGTCATTACACCATGCTATGTAGGCAATGCATTCTCCAATACCACCAATAAATGCCACAAGATCAGGATAAAATATTTGCTACAGGGCAAAGGTTTGTTAACAGAATTTAGGAGATCACTTGTTTGACTATTTATTGCATTTAGGAGGACTGTTTAAAGTTTCCTTTGTTCCAAAACATATTTTAGGAGGTACATGTCTTAATGCATTGTCTCCATAAATGCAGTCAAATGGACTGCTCAACAAGACATGATAACAGTCAGAGCACCAATACTGGCAAGATAACTGACAAACACCTTACACTGTCTCAGTAACATACAAGGTAAATGCAGTGGAAAATGACCATGTAAATACATGATAGACATTGACAATGAAATGATTAGCATACCTTACACAGAATAAAATCCTAAATAGTTCTTAAATATCGTAAAAGTGTTGGTACTGTTTGTATAAATTTTAATTAACACACTGACAATTTCACATTGTAAATATATCAAGGAATAAAATTTAACTTTTTTCTAAATAAAGACAACTAGTTTATAAATATGATGTCCTAAAATAATTCCCCTTTGGAAAAGTATTCTGCAAACATTAAGGTTTTCTTTTCAGGCTGAATGCCTGTCTCGACAAGCAAACTTATGATATAGGTCCCTAGACATTTTCTTCTGATGTGTGACAGCATTCTTCTTTTTCAGTTGTTTGCCCAAATATGTAGTTGGTGGTTATATTTCACAAGAACGATACTGCCAGTATTTGTGCTTTGAATCAACAAGTGATTTTGATAAATAATAGATGAAATAGTGCATCAGTCTAACCCTCAACAAAGTCCCATACGTAAGAGCAAATACGTTTCACAAACACAAATGGAAGTGATTGTGACCTTTAATCTAAAATTTCTATAAGCCATCAACACCATGAACAGAACAACTGATAAAAGACGACTTGATGTTTCTTCATAAATGATGGCACTAAAAATTTTAAGCTAGAATCTGATCCTAAGAATTCACAGAAATGCTTTGCTCAAAGGTATGGGCAACAGAAATCTAAGTACAAGTTAGTAGCAAAGACAAAAGGTTAAAACTGAAGATCCCTAGATGTTAAAATATTGAACAGGTAATATTCTTTTGATATATGCAGGATACATATCTTTAATCACTGTTTAAACCACTTGTTGACACATTACGTCAGCAATATATACACATCAACATAAATCAGCCAGTAACAGTTTAGATCATAAAAGGACACAAGACAACAGACAAATTTCACAGAAGCTGAAAAAGATGTACAAGACAAGATTATATGCATCTTTTACTAGTACACTGCAATCTTTCAAAACCCAGTGTTTCTATGGAGATCGATTGTGAATGGTAGGCGTCTATGATGCAACATATACCTATATACGACAACTGACTTTATAGTCATGTTGAAAACTTACCATGATAAAAAATGACACATAATGTATACAATATTTTCACTTTTGGAAAAAAAATATATATCGCATGAATAATTAAAAACATACATGAGCATCATAAGTTTATTTACTAGAGAATAACTTGCATATTTCATATCCAAGGACTTGTGGAGTAAGGATAAAGGAAGCACCCAACTGTCCATAACAAATTGTGTAAAAACAATAACATACACTGATAAGAATTACCACATTTGTAAAAGCATTTACTTGCATATATATAAATATATGTACTTATTCTGATATCGGAATCTAACAACATTATACAAATATTCTTTCTAGTCTTATGTTATGCAAAGAGTTTTTGTGGAATTCTCAAAAGACGTTACAACAAAAGAGTTATCTACTTATATCCTAATTCAAAACAGGTTCAGGATTTCATTATCTGAGGAAAAATACTAAGAACTTAACTATAGGAAAGTGCAACTTATACATAAAAATTCTACCAATGGTAGTTGAATACCATACAACTTGTAGGGAACTTGAGAAAAATGAGGTATATTAGCAAAATACCTATAGCTCATCAGTTGACAAACAAGACACAACCAGTGGACACATGTACATCATGGAATGGCAAGCTGCTAGACAGAAAATAACAAAGTTGTTAGGTGCTTCCCTTCCGTAGCATCAGTTATCCTTGCATATTCTGTGCCATTTTCCGCCACGGCCAATATGTGTTACCGCAAGCTGCAAGCCTGAGGCTATGTAATGCGATGTGGTCATCACAACGCATAGTGACTTGGGATTACCTCGACTGGGGCTCCTTCCATGAGGGCTGCATCAGCCAGCTCTGTCCCATATGCTTGAGGTGGGGGCTGTGTGGCATACATGAGTTCAGGAGCCGAATGCATTGTGGCATAAACGTATGCTGGATTTGCCGTCAGTGTGGGTTGGCCAGGACTCTGCTGGAAAGAAAGTTAAAAGCTTTATACTTGAGAAAAAAGATCAATCTCTGAACTTCTTTTATATCTAGATGCCAACCCCAAATTTAGAGATTGTGGAATATTTGATACTTGCCATCAAATTAATAACTAAGTTATTTAAATTATATGTAAAAGATCAGTGTTACAACATGAAACACAGCCTACCATTTCCTGAATACCCAAGCAATCATATGCCCAATCAAGAACTAAGTTGAAACAGAGAAATCTGTCACCAACCACCTTAATAGCAATGACGTTTTAAGCACTTCTGGGTAAATGACATCACCTTCATTTCAGGAGAAAATAAATGCCTTGCGCAGTGCAACTCTGAAACACTATGCCTCTACATACAGATATCCTCGCCATAACACGGGTCTTGCGGTCCATGGATGACCCCACGCGTTATAGTAACGATTACGTAACGCGGAACAAAGACCAAGTAAATTCGTATTTTCCATGGACATAACAAAACTGCTGTTTCGTGTTTTGTGCCCAGTCAAAACTATATCGTATTGTTGGAGGTGAAAAAAACAACTTTGTAAATGAAAATAAATGTATGTACATGAAACTTGCAATCAAACATCACAAGATATGATAATTCAATTGTTGTTCCTGTCATGCTACCTGTTATTCAACTAAGCCGGAAATAGCAATCAGCTGGGCACAGATCGATGTTTTGGTCCAATGTACCGGTGATTCAGTTAAAAACGATCCGAAAATTTAACATCAAAGAATTTCTATTCCATTATCGGAATAATTTATATGTCAAACAGTTATTCTAACAGAGATCTTATATATTGCTATCCTCTAAGTATAATGCATGTTTTCTACGAACATATTTAACATACTTTGGGTTACCTGGCTGGATACATTTTACATAGGAGACAGTTTGACAAGTCACCACTGACTTCCCTCGGTACGTGCCACATTGATTGTAAAAACAAAATGTTGGCAATTAATTGTCAAATATGACTTCAACGAGTCAATAACGCGGGTCTTGGGGTCAATGGATGACAAGGCTGTAATCTGTTCGTGATTGCTGAGAAAAATGTGAAATTGGTGCTATCGCGGTAGGCGCGAAAAACTGACCCTCACGAATGTGGTAAGCGGGCGTTGTATGGAATGGGTAATGCCATTTCACTCACGGTTTCTCCGTTGTTACTGTAAACAGTTTAAATGAATGAAAATGGGAATGAATTTAATCCAATAAAATGTGTTTTATGACATCATACATTCTCGGATGGCGGTGTTTACCCGCGCAATTACGCGGGGTGTTGCATCACAGCAAACGTTGTAAGTACTTGGCTGATGGCATGTCTTTATGATAAAGTTATTACGATGTTTCCCTGTACATGTATTATTATTCACAAAAAAGACCCTGCATATTTTAAGCATCTGAAAAAACATGGATATGTACAATAAACACTGTTAATTGCAATCTGCACTGAATTTCACTAGTTTACAATGTGATTAACCAGAGCTCAACAGCGGATTTGTTGCTACTTTCAATGACGTGAATATGTGTGATGACTGGGCAACTTTTTTTTATGGGAGCCACAGATCACCCCGCGGTTTAACCGAATCTGGGGTATTGCGAGGGATGACTGTACCGGTACCTCAACAACAGTATAAGCACTTATGGTTCAATGAGACTGATCAGTCATCTGAGTCATGTGCTCATGCATATAAATTTTTAAATTCCAATCCAAAGATTAAAATAGCCTCAAAATTTGCACTGAATCTCTCCTTTAGATTATCCCCAAATTTGAAACCAATCCAACCAATAGTTTTGAAGTTACTGGTTAACAAGTATGTCTTCAGACGGACAGATTCCTTGGTATAACTATATACCCCCGACCTAAAAAGGTTTGAGTATAACATCAGTTCCCCAGGTAAGACAAGTAGAACTGAACACACCTGTGGAGCCCAACGCCACTGGCTGGCTGCAGCAGCAGCTGCAGTTGTCCACTGTGGGGTAGCCTGCTGCAAGGAAAGGAATCATACATCAGGATAACAGAAGAAAGAGCAAAATGAATAAATAGACTTAATTCAGGTACCAATATGTACCACAAATTTGAAAATACATGATTCTGGCAGCTCAAGGGGGGGATTTCAAATCACAACCACTACCTCTGAAATAGGCGATAAACTGGCAGTATCAGAGAAAGGTATTTCCTTCTTGACAGTTTTTAAAAAATAATTTTAGTCATAATGCAAAGTCCCACCCCCACACCAATCCTCAAAAGGAAATCTAAAAACTGAATATTGACATTAGAAGCTATCTGTGATGGTAAATGACAAATGTTTTCACATGTAGCCGTGGTTGCAAGGTTTATCTGCTATATTATCAGTTTTGTTCATCTTAGCAGCTATACAGATAGGTCTGTTTGTGGTTAGCCATCAAGTTGCACACCTGATGTATCTACAAAAATAACATTGCAAGCATTAATCTTAACCTGTGAATACTTAAACAACTAATGTCTGTAACTAGCTTTTTATGTCTAACATTCTGTTTGGGTACAACACCACCTGTGCTTTTCCTTCTTTCTTATTTCAGTTAATGAAAGCCTGTCAGGAGCAAATGCCATGAAGGCATCTTAAGGCATTTTAATGTTGTTACCAAGTTTTGGCATAAGTTCTGGATAATGCAATAGAACTGATGAGCAGACAGGTAGGCTGCATAATGAGATTAAAAAACCTGAGGTAAAAGTTAGCCGATTCGAATTTGCCTTTAGTCAAATATTTCTTACTTCAGCATTTTTGAAAGTACTAAAATCTGCAAAAGTGCTTTGTTCAGTTCACTTGACCTCAATTGATATTTAAACAAAATAAAAAACAACAAACAAAACAAAATAAAAAAATAATTAAAATAAATAAAAAAGATTTTAAAAACCCCACCATCCCCAAAAATAGAAAATAATAAAAATAATTAAAATAAATTTTAAAAAAATTATAAAAAAATAATAATAATAAAAAACAACAAAAAATCCCCAGCCAGTTTTCATCTTTGCCCAATATGTAGATAATAAGGATGGGATCAACTGCTATCAAGCCACTAGTGCCACCTATCCTTGCAACATTGGCCATGGTGCTAGCAGAAAATTCTTATGATCATTATCTACACAGGTCACTATCAAGTTTTAATGCCCGTTTTAATCTATCGTTGTGATACAGGTATCATTGTGGGCTGTCTCAACCATTTACATAAACTTTGCAATTTAAATGCCATGACATCGTCACAGTATTGTTCTTCATTTTTCTATTGTAAAGTGAACTTGTCAACAACTTTGGGTGGATTCATTTCAGTTTATACATTCCCCTTTGTTTTGTTGCAGTTGTCAGCAGCAGAGCTGTTTGGTTTGTTTTGTGTTCCATGCCACCCTCTGCAACATTACAGTCATATAGCATGGCAGTCTGTAAATAACTGGAGCATGGACCACTGGAAAACTAGGTGATTGATATTGTCTGCAATGCAATGCAGTCAGGTTGCCATGATGGGTAATCTACCTAGTCAGTCTGACCACCCAAATAACTTATCCACTTGTAATGATCCACATTGTTATTCCAATCTCAACAGAATTTCCAGCAGACATAGTGGAGCTATTATCTCAGCAGTTACCTATTCAAACACGGATCAATCATTTGTATTGATAAAATTAACCAAACATCCATCAACCAATCAATAATTGCCAACATGTTTGTCAGTTAGATTGTTGATTGTTTACTTTAAATGGTCTATTACTTGGATTATTTACACCTTCAACAACAAATAAAAGTAAAGAGTAAAAAGACAAATGTGTATCAGTATTAGGTACATGCATTTTCTATATCTAAAATGACGATAAATGTATACGTAAAATGTTTCTTGGTCAAAGAAGCAAAACTAAGGTGGTTACAGGTGTATTTTCACGACCATGTGATTTCATTTTCAAGACAATCAAGTGGGAAAGTGCCAACAAAACAGTGTTAGTTGAAACTAAACAGTACTGGCTATGCCGTTTGTACAGATCTATGGGTCTGGAAACAATCATGCTGTTGTTACTCAGTGTTGCTAAAGGTGCATCCAATGCGCTCATCTAACCACACCTCTGTATAAAGAATTACCAAATGTGTGTATGTCTCTTTAATCTGAGGCATTGGTTTGGATGCCAATAGCCTTGTGTTGTTAGGCCCTTCGTATCCACTTACTGGCTGGTAGGCAGAATATTGTGGAGCCACGTGATACATAGTTGGCGTCTGCGGGACCATCACTGTAGCTGTGTAGGCAGGTTGCTGAAATAGTCAGTGGAAACATTCACTTCACTAAAGTACAATCATTTCACAGCCCTATTAAATCAGGACACGAAAAATAACTTTCCAGATTTTACCACTACGGGCAATGCAGCCAGGTTATTGAATCCTGACTTGTTGATGACTGTTTATGCACATGACCCTATCAAATACAGAATGACTACAAATGGTACAGATATTGGTGGTTCAAAGAAGGATTCTTCATTGGTACACATACAATCGCCATGATCCCCCAAAATTCCAAAAAGATTTTAAAAAGTATTAAAAGGATACATACTACTCAAATTCTGCTGGTGGTACTATCTGGACACAAATCATAAGCAGTGTATGTTACTCTGACAAAACTGGAAGGACACAAACGATATCAGACTATACAGCTTGTTAAGAAGGAGGGTCACAGGTATATATAAATTTTAATAAGTCTGAAATATTACAGATATTTTTCAAAGTGGCAAAAAAATGATCACAACACTTTGACCGGTCTAATATGAGAGTTCAGGCTTCCAAAGATCATTGTTACATTTCCAAGTAGTCACTTTTCAGAAGGGCATAGGAAACTGTGGGGCTGTTGTTTAAAGGGTAAGATAAACATCTCATAGTGCAGTGATGTTTGTTATGGCATCACTCACAGAAGGCCTAAAAAGTGAAATGTGCTTCCTTTCTTTTCACTTTCAACCAGGGATGGTTACATACAACATATTATGTTCCCTATTTATAATTCTTATCAAGGTGGAAATGGGTTGCTTGGCAGAGGTTATTGGGGTTAATATATTTATTATGGACAGCACCCATGATTTAGGTGGAGTAACTGGAACCATATTACCTGGAGTTAGATGGTTTAAGACGTGGTGTTGATAACTAACACATTGATGCCATATTCAACAGCATATAAAAATCAAGTTCTTTACAGATAGTAACCCCCACTGTTTCAAATAAAATTGACAACATTTGCCTTTGATAGCAAGATTTCAGAAATGTAGCTTTGAAATTTCACTTATTTGTCACTGTAGTAAGAATATACAACCAAGTGTAAAATGTTTTAGTACTGGTCCCATGTAGGAATGTCGCTGATGTGGTTATTGCACACTATTATGGACTTTCATTTTTTTAGCAATTTTTTTAAATGTTCTGATATTTATGAATTGCTTTTATAGAACTGAAAGTTTATTCTGCTTATTTTCTTTGCTCCATCTTTATCCTATTAAACAACAAAGCTGCAGATACATCAGTAGAAGCAGCACAACATGGTGGATTGGAGTACGGTAAAATACATGTTTCTCACCTTACCACTTCAATATAACCTATTCTTTGGATGAATATTTCAAAGGTTAGAGCCAAATCAAACATACTGTAATGACATACCAATTTCTTAAATATTTCATCTAATACTTTGATGTCTGGAGTTATCTAAGATTTTGAAGATCCAAATAAAAACTTAACTGGTTTTCAAACACACAAGAGACTGCTTTTCTAACAGAGCCCTGTTATCATGAAAGTTATTTAGGATACTTCAGTAAAGATCTGGCAAGGTCTGATAACATTCACCTGAACTATTTCACTGTCCAGTAATTTATCATTGAGTAGTATGAATTCAATGTGTTAGTTGAAAAATTGATTTTTATCGGTCCACTGGACTGGCAGAAAACAACATTAACTGAAACTAATCACATCTTAATGTCCATTTATGAATAAATAACTAAACACTGTCTTGGTTTTTTCTTTTTACAAGAGGCCGGGGAATTCCTCGTCCATATTGATCCAATAACAACAGAATATAAATAACATGTACAGCCAAAATGTAACAGTGACATTGCACCTTATTGAGGCTCACATGGTGGAAGTGCAGACAAATCTTTTACAGGTTTTCCAAAAGGGGACAGATAATAAAGATGAGATTAAAAGATGTTGGTGGCTAAGACGCAATTAGTCATGATCAAACATCTAATTAGGAGAGATCTACCTTAAAACAGTAAGTAAACAAAAGTCAAGAATGAGAAAGTTTCACAGTTATTGGTTAAGAAATTCTGATAACTGACGTGTGTGTGTGTGTGTGTGTGTGTGTGTGTGTGTGTGTGTGTGTGTGTGTGTGTGTGTGTGTGTGTGTGTGTGTGTAAGAGAATATGAATGAAGACAGCTGGGGTAATAATATATATAAACTGCATCGGATGTATAAACATGCAGATCTACCAGCATCATGTAAGCAAGTCACAAGGTTTCACTAGCTTAATTAATAGGCCTGGCAAAATAATGGATGGACCTATATTCTTAGTAAGTGAGTGAGTTTGGTTTTAAGCGGCTTTTAGCAATATTCCTGCAATATCACGGTGGAGGCACCAGAAATGGGCTCCACACATTGTATCCATGTGGGTAGTCGAACCCGGGTCTTCAGCTTAATGAGCAAACGCTTTAACCACAGGGCTACTCCACCATCCACCAATATTTGTAAGTGCTGCCAGTCCAGTGAACTGGTAAACTGAAACACTAATACCTATACCAAAAAGATACAGGGTACGATTTAAAAAAAATCAAAAAAAAAATCAAATCATAGCTTAGGAAAACTGTTTTATGACAAAACATATAGGGTTTTCAACATTTTTTAGCATCCCAATCCGTGTCAAAATATTTTGAGTCTTACTACCCCAAATAGTTTTAAGCTGCACCTGTAAGATCAGTCAACGTCAATATGCCAACAATACTAATTTATAGGTCATAGCTCAGTAGTGTTTCCAAAATGTAATGCTTGTGTGAATGACAAGTTGGTAATAAACTAAGTGATTTTGAAGGATAAGCCACTTTTGTCAATATTCTAAAATTCTATCATGCAGGCATACAAAGAACTGGCTTAATCACCTGTCACCATCTGGAGGATCAAACTCAGGACTTGCACTGTATTACCACCAGGCGATACAGATTGATGCCCCCTTAGCTACCCTACAAGATTCTGTTGGATTCATCCTATCCATAGTTGGTGAGAAGGGAGGAGGGTTCTAAGGTGATTAATGATCAAGGGTAAATACATTATAGTTTCAGTTGTATGAAAAGATAAGTTGTTAGATGTGTCAACTAGAATAGAAACAAAGCAGTGACTGTGGTATATATCTGACCTTTACTTGTTCTCTTTGAGCAGCATTCACATGAGTGGGTCTACACTGAAGTCCCTGTGCAAATTAATGGCAAAACTGTCATGTTGTCAGATTTGGAAATGAATGTGCAGTTTGTTACTCAATTTCTTAACCACAGTCATTCATTCTTAAATCCAAAACTGTCAGAGGCATGTTCATATAAATGTATTTTCAAAATACGCACAAAATAATGTAAAGCATGAAAATTACTTTGAAATTTAGCCAACTTATCTCTTCATGTTGTATATTTTTCTTCTCAAAATTGAATTGGTGTGCAAGAAAGAATAGTGTTTTGTAAAATGTCGAAATGTTAACAATAAAATTTATTGTAAAGTAAAATCAACCATGGAATGGTAGATAACCAGTTCTGTAAGCTCCCTGGAGAGACCACATGTATTAATAGGTCCCGAAATCCATAGTCAGTTATCTGAAGTTGTACTTATGTGAAACTACTTTCACTGTTATTATTCCAGTGAAGTGTTATCTTACATCAAAATAATTTGAATCATCCTTGAAAATGCAAACATTAACTGTCTGGTAACCATCCTGAAGTTCCTCAAGTTTTTCTTATGAAATGGCAACGTTAATCATATGTTGTTCACTTTAAAAAGATTATTAGATGCGAGATAGTTCTAAGCATGAATAATAGAAGTATCCATGTTCTGAGACAGACATATTCCCATGGTCACATGGCCACATCAATTGTTATATGTTTTATACAGAGGCCTTCCCTATTTCAAACACAGAATATGAATTAACACAAAAAGTTAAAGACATATGATCATTACTATCTCTTGACTTTGTTACCACTTGAATTGGAAGTTTCACTTTGGCTCCTGTTGCTTGGAAAACCAAATACAATTGGTGTGGCCTATATTTGTAAACGTAAGCTACAGAACAGATACAACTGCAATATTCATAATTACAAACTAAACAAATAATTCTGAAGTTACACAATTCAATTATCTGTCAAATGAAACAACATTTCTACATGTCCTTTTGAGATCTTAACCTTTTGCCCTTGTTTTCCTTAATCATGTTACAGAAACCATAAATGATTTCTCCAGCAGCAATCACTGGAAGCACACATAAATCCTGTGCCTAGGTTGTGGCTGGTACTAACATTACCTATGGTACTGGGTTCCAGAAGGTGTGACATGTGGGGAAACCTGATCAAATACCATTATTATGAATCTGTGTACAAGGGATCAACAAACTGTAACATCACCACTACATCTGTAAACTTCATGGGGTCATCAACCAAAACTATCTTCTTTGCTAAATACTTTGAGTACATTTATGACAGACATTTCATGCATGTCATGCCACATTTGCAAAATTGTGAACGGTACAGTGATTTTTTGCAAGTGAATTTGGTCCTTACTTTGTATTATAACATAGTTGTTAGATTGGTGATTCAGTACTTATTTTCATGTTGTTCTGCATATTCTCTTTTCCTCAGGGAAATTGTATTCATGAATCCAGCAGTACAGAATGAGCAACACCCCAAGGGTCTAGTCACACTTGTTCTTGCTAACCTCTCAACAAGTCATCAAACCTTTTTGAAAGTTCTTAAATCAATTCGATGTTTTTGTCTATTGGGGTAAGTGGAAATAATTGTTTTCATGCAGACATAGATAAGATAACTGTACTGACTTAATGACACCCAAAATCTGAAATGTCAAAACTGATTCTGGTGTGCTACTGGGGTCTTCTTTTTTAATGAGTACTGTTTTAAAAACAAACAACCCCTGGTCTAAAGACACAAGAAACAATTCATAACCATGTACACACAATGAAATGATGACCATATATCCAGCCATATTTTACCACTATCTTAGTCAAATTTACTATCTTGAAATTGCTGCTCTGGTGAAGCTGACCTTCAACCATATGGAGAGTGGTGTTATTTTATCTAAAAAGTGTTGATGCTGCCCTGAAACAAAGGTGCTGATACAATCAAGCCTTCATGAGGAGGACTGGAAAACAAGGGCAAAAAGGGTTGAACATCATGCCTGAAAATACTCCAACAACTTCAACTTCAACATTTCCAAGAAGCATCTAGAGAATATAAGACTATCCTAGACTTCAGTCTGAAACAAATAGCACTGGTTTCACATCATTTATGTACTTTCAAAATAGTAAGTTTTGAACTGTCACTGGCTTAGCATTTGAAAGCACATCTGGAAACACAGCTGGAAATATACATTCAAACCATAGTTACAGCAAATGTTACCAGTATCACTGGTGTAAATTCATTCAGTCTTTGTAATTCATCAAAAGTAAAATACTTCACATCACAGGCAAATTTTCTCTTACACAAAATGCCAGACTGAGTACAATTTTAGATATGAATGAGATCACGTTCACACTAAATAAAGTGTAGTTAGAACCTGGAGAAATCATGATCATTACCATTTTCCTATTACAAATGTTTGGACAGTACAGCTCCTAAACCAATCCTTTTTCTTGATTACAGCTTTCTCAAGTTATATGTAGTTTTCTGAAATTCATTACTGATGTGAATCCAGTACTTCAAGTATGAGTATAAACGACAGTGATGTGAAAGAACAGTAAGGATGGAAATGCTGCGACTGTTTATCTCACCTGCGCCTGAGGTATTTGGTAACCTCCGTCAGGTGAATGAAAAACTGCCATTCCATTTTGGTAAGTGTATGGAACTCCATTAGTGAACATAACTGTTCCCTGCGTTAAATTTGGATCTGAAAATGGACAACAAGGGCAAACCTACAGTAACTTTAGGACATTCAGAAACATTCAACTGGGGGAATTTGGTGAGACTCGAACAGCAGATAAACTTATACAGAATAAACTTAATTTGTCATGAGTGACATCCTATTTTGCACCTAACAAGATTGACTTTAAGCACATGTCTGACTAGATACCTATCTATGAGCTTTCACTGGGCATCATTTTATGGATAGGACACGACAAAGGTCAGCACTCGCCCATAGCAATTTGCCTGCTGTTCAACAAGTTCAAGGCATGATAAGGGAAGTAGTCACGGTTTGTTACATAAAACACTTATTTTATCAATGTTTAAGTAGGTGTTTACAACTTAACAATGTCATTGAAGGTCAGATCTTGGTTGTCGCTACTGTGTTACATCTGTAGACATCCCATTACGAGTTTGTGTGCATGGTGCAGGAACGGCCTTTAATCTAATACAAGTGTTTGAATGTGTGTTATAATCATACAACCTCGAAAATAATCACACAGGCTTTTCTGAATAACCTTTACTCCCTGCAAGACTGATAACATCAAAATCATCAATCTGCCACTACTAACAGACATATGAAACTGAACAGACTTTCCTTAGCCAGTGGGAAATACTCCCATACAATTTCAACCATCTAAAAATTTCAACCATCTAAAGGCATTCAAAACATTTCTCATCAGTTTTCAAATTTTGAATTGATATTTGTCCCACTTTGAAACTAGTCACATAGAGCTGAAGAAAACTGTTTTCTCACAGGTTAATGTTAAATTCTTGTTAATAATATCATTGGTTGGTCAAAGTGAGAAAGGCCGTTGCAATGGATATCCAAAGATCTCTCTGTAGCAGTAGCGACCATTAAGATCTGATTTCAATCAAACTAAGAGCTAAGTAGTACTTCACAAATTACAAATTTAGATGTGTTTGATGTGAACTCTTCTAGCAGAGATATAAACTGAATTTTATACCTTCCTGTTGCCTTTTGTTATATCCCACATATAGGAAAGTACAGTGCTTGAAATTAACAGGCTTGAACATAAAAACAAGAAGCAAAAATAAATAAGAGACTTGCTGTATATCACCAGACAATCAATGACACAGTCTGGCCATCAGTAATATTACTGATCAAAATAGCAATGAATAGAACACTAACTGGAATGAGCAACAGAAAATTCACGTGTCTTAGATCAAAATATTACAAATTTAATATGTTGTAATGCCTATGTCTAAGATTTTATTGTTTACATAAAACTTCATTTATACATTTGAAGAAGTAGGTAAATTTTCCATGTACTATCTTATCTGGAGAGCTGTTAAGCTCATGTCATTAATGTTTACATCCCCTTCCTAATTGTACGAACAAATCACCTTTATGTTCCGAACATTTACTAAATTACCAAAATTATTTCTATTTCCTCGAGTATCAACAAATTCCCCCAAGATTAACCTTTGGATGAGGGAAGACAGACATGCATACTGTAAGAGTAACATTTTGATACTGAAATTCAAATGCACAAAATGTTTGACCTATGAAACTAATTGCATCACAAACAGCAGGCAAAGTTTAATAATCCTTAAAGTGCTCTAAATGGCATGCATTTGAATTTCATTCTAGATAGGTAAATAAACCATTCAAACAACATCCATCTACCTGTAAAAATGTCAATGATATGGGTTTTTATTGTCTTTCCCTTAACCTTTCTCCCAACAATCTGAAAAATCATTTTTATACAACTGACAATGTTTTCACTCGAAATGCTGCAGTTTAATAATTTGACACATAATATCAAGATGAATAGTTATTCAGATAAATGGAGGATGTTACAGTAAATGCGTTCAGACTTTATTAGATTTTAGTGATAACAATTTATGAAAAACAATGAACACAAAGAGGCATAATATATAAATGAATGTGCAGTTCAGCTAACACTCACCATATGTTCTTGGTAAAACCTACAATAAAATCAGACAAAAACAGTTATCAAAAGACATGAAACTGCTGGAGCAAAGAAACATTTTTTAACATACTAAAAAAACCCAAAACATTTAAAGATGCTCCAGATGAATTTATTATCATCATGTGACAAAACATGAGCAAGGTTCACTAATACCCCCGACTGCGATTACCAAACTTCAGCTGAACATCTGTATCCAACATTGCACAGAACTTTTCCTATTAACAAACGAGCCATTACCCAAATCTGAAAACAATCCATTAAATGTGTGTGAAGTTATTGGTTGAACAAATTTGATATGGGACTATCAACCCCCAGAGTTAAAGGGATATAATTTGTGATAATTCCATTAAATTCAAAATATCAAAATATAACTTTACACTGCGACTGTCTTACAGATAAGGAGGGTGATCACCACATTAAAAAACAATCTATTTAAATGTGTTAAGTTATAGGTTGAGTTAGTGAGCGAGGTTGGTTTTACGCCGCTTGTAGTAATATTCTAGCAACATCATGATGGGGGGACACCAGAAATGGGCTTCACACATTGTACCCAGCTGGGGATTCGAACCCGAGTCTTCAGCGTGATGAGCGAACCCTTTATCCACTAGGCTACCCTATCACCCCAGTTATTGGTTGAACAAAAATTGCCTTGTGTTTTTCAAGATCAAAATATTTAAATTGATGCAACACTTTAAAAAATCAGAAAATTGGAAACAAACTTTGTAGTGCACCTCTTTGTTTCCAAATTTTATATCATTCTGACCAATACCTTTCAAATTATTGTTTGAACAAAATGTTTTAAGTTAAAATTTTCATATTCCTAAGATTCTCATGAAAAGTGGGCAATCACAGGGGCTTGCAAGGCAAAAGCAAGCCACTGTGTGTGAAACAAGTCTGACCAATCATGTGCAAGACACGGTCACTAAAATTCAAGGCATTAATATCAGTGCTTTCATCGATTTTGGACACAATTTGTGTCAACATGAAATTTGGTAAGTTTGCAGTACAAATTGTGAACAGGGATTTTTGTAAGAATAACAAAAATCATGATATTTTTTTTTAGATTCTGAAGACTCAAGCTCCCATAGTAGGGCTTCAATTTATGTAATCTTCATCTTATTTTGTAGGTAATAAGATGCCAGAGTTTTTTGTTTGTTACAAGCCCTGTGCATCACATGGTGGAACCAATGCTTGCTGTTTTCTGAAAAATATATATTGCAGTTCACAGCTGCAAAATAACTTTTCTGTTGCAACTGAATTATTTAGTGCATTTTAGTTACCAGTTACTGATAGTTTAATGTGTTTCCTAATTTCTACAAGAAATGGTAATCATATTCTTGAAATTACAGTCCTTGTACATTTGACAGCATGTTACACCAGCCAATCAACTTCCAAGCAATTCCTTTGGGAGTTTGTGCTCAAATTTGTTTCCCTGGTTCGCTCTGTGGGATGGTGTCTGCCTAAAACATTGTCATTCTTCCATACAGAATGGCCATGATGTTTGGCACTGATAACAGGATTTCTTTTTTTCCTAAATATGTGCAAATCAATGCCTGTCTAAAAAAGATAATTACCTCTCAGAACAAAAACAATCATGGCAACTGTTCCACTTTCTACATATGAAATTATCTATACTGGAAGCCAAAGGTCCAGCAAGAAAACCTTAGTTAAAATTGAATTGCATCAATTGACCCATATAATGGCTCATTATTACAGTTTTGACTTGAGTGGTTGTGTGGAAACGAAGTAAACAATGCAAAACAGCAAAAGACACTTGCAATGCAAAAGCTCTTATGGTCTATGACCAGTTGAGCTATTAGCCAAACATTATGAACTCACCTGCTTTCGAATAGCTGGCCCTATGTTCAATTTTCTGTCTTTGAAAACCAGATTATCTGCCTGTAATTCAATTACACAAACTTAGTTTACAGCTTTTAGTGTTCCATATGAGCTATAATGCCCACAATTCACTGTAAGATTACTTAGATTAGTAAGATTACAATGCAATAACTTATCACTTACTATAAAAAGGTAATAAGGTGAAAGATGGTAATAAAGAAGAAGTTGGCCCTTATGTTTGTTGTTTAACTACGCTCTCAGCAATATTCCAGCTATATGGTGGCAGTCTGTAAATATTTAACCAGACCAGACAATCCACTGATCAACATCTTGGGCATTGATCTATTTACTTTAGTTGAGATACGATGACATTTGTTGACCAAGTCAGCGTGCCTGACCACCTGATCCCGTTAGTCGCCTCTTACAACAAGCATAGGTTGCTCAAGGCCAGTTCTAACCCCGATCTTCATAGGTTGGTCCTCATGTTATCTGAGTTATTGGCTTTATGACTACTTGAACAACTATTACAGTTCATTTTATGAAATTTTATGAAGTAAGATAAAATGATCTTGTCAGGTCAATAATAAGTTTGTTAGAATGATGTTCTAACTCATTCAATATCAAAACTCAAGAGTTACATATAATTTTATACTGAACAGCAGGTGCAACAAAGTTATTACCTACGGTTGCACTGCGAGCATTTTGGTTTCTTTTACTTAAATCAAGCCCTGCTATATGCAGGTCTGATCCCCATCAAAAATAGACTAATGGCATCTGGACACTTGCAGAGATGAGACATCAGTAAAAATCTGGAAATCAAGCGAAGTGAACCCCCAAAACAATAATCCAGATTCCCAAGGACTCCCATGGTAATTCAATATTGCTCATCTTTCAAACTGCTAACAGCAGATCCCTGCATCAGTCCATACATCACAGAAAATATTACATTTGAATCAATGAATCTGTACAGTTTAAGAAAATATCAAAACATATTCTCTTTAACATCAGTGAAATCAGTATCTGAGTGAAAGAAAGAAACATTGGAGGCTGAATTGTAAAATTCATACCAACAACACTATTAACTATCATTAGAAATATGTATTTCATAAACCTATGCCTGATCTATCATCCATGTAATTTCATCACAATTTGTTTTAAACACACTCAAGAAATTCATTTATCACGTCGCCGATCAACCAGTGATACATCCAGTGCATAATGAACCCAGAGAAGACGTCAAAGCTGATGAGGGACACGCCCATAGATAAGCTCTCATAAGAAAACATGGATTCAAATAGTGCAGTACAAATCTTTAAGGACCAAGGACCTGTGTTTAACATGTTATTTTTCCTTATCACTCCAAGGGATCATGAGAACTGTAAAATGCCAAACAAACCTGCCAACCAGTTACATTTTACTGGTGTTAGATTCTGAAAATTTCATATCATGAAAAAGCATGTACAGTACTTTGACATACAATACAATTTCAGTAATTAAAATAAATGAAATATAGTTATCACTGACCTGTTGGGGAACACACCAATTAGAACCACTTACCAACAATATTTCTTAAACATTTTTTAAAGTAGAAAATGGGACACTTACTTCTTTTTTGATAATCCTTTCTGCATCTTCTTGATTTTCAAATGTGACAAATCCATATCTGAAACAAATTGCATTGAAACTGAAATAACTACCAACATTATATGTATTTGACTAAAAATCCAGGGATGAAAATTGGTACGAGTGAAAAAATGAGCTGTTTGTCTTTCTCCTCCGATTTAGACGATTCACAAGAATGACCCAAGTACGATCACATCCGCGGAATTCTGTGGAGCATTCTCACTCTTTCCAACTGCCCACTATACATGCATTATGACTATACATGTATTATGATCCAATAATTAGCAAATCAAGAGACAACTTACCTCAATCTAATTTCAACTATGATCACCAATTTTGTCTAGTGCAGCAGAACTTGGTCTCATGCCTCTACCTGACTGAAACATGTCTTAACCACTACTGGCACTGAGTACTGGACTAATGGCATCAATTTCTGTTAGCAAAGCCAAATGCCTCATCGAGGAAAATGTTAAAACAGTTCTTGTAGCTACTTGAGTAATCTGTCTCACAGTCCCTGAACCACATTAATTTCCCTACTGCCAAGCCCTCTCTGCAGCGCTAAAGCCCTAAATAAAGCAAGTCTAGATTTCCTCAGGTTCAGGTTCTGAATCTCTGGTCTCCCTAGGGCTCCTTTTCAATATAAATGGGCTTGTTTGTTACTATCAAAATTATATATATTCAGAGACTAAGCCTTAGTCTACTACTTGAGTAACAAAGTTACCTCAATATTAGTCTTGATCGGAGAGAAAATTTCAAATCTGAAAGCTCATGTGCACTGTGTAACAAATTATACACCTTTTACACCACAGAACAAGTACCGGTACATTGAATTACACATTCAAACACTGATCATGCTGATAGTGATAACTGAATTAAACAAAAGTTTTCAGATGAGGCAGAAGCATGTCAAAAGACCTAAGTTTCACCAACATTCAAAACAACAACCAAAAGTCCACTAGTCTGCGACTGGAAAATTCAGGAAAGACTCCTGGTGGAGTGTTTGATTGATCTTGCTAGCATCCAGTGTCTATTTTACTTTTCATATGAAGTGGGCCCTGGGCCCATTGGTAATGAAACTAGTGGGACATTTGCCACTGTAGGTAGGTCATCAGAAAAAACAAGGGAGACAGTTTATTCACTCAGTAATTTCAATGAGTTTATCATTCAAATTACAGCTGCTCAATTGTATTATATAACTGTTAATTCAAACACTGTTACTTTAATGAGATGACCATTAAAGTTATTATGTTGTAACGTTATATCTCAGTGACAGTCTGTTTTCAACTTAAATTAGTAGACTTATTTTGACTTTCATGGAACAAAACCCACGGATATAAAACTTGCCATTTTGTTTGGACAGAATGTGACTGGGATGTCTTGCTGTCAGTTTCAACATCTACTGCGGTGACCGTGTCATTGACATTCAATGTTTTAGTTGCAATTTCTGAATTACAATTGCCATCATTTGACCCCACAACAGTTCCCTAATCTTCTGTCACTTTTTTATCTTTTGGTTTGGAAAAATGAAAGTATTTGTGACTGTCGCTTCACAGCAGCAGATGATTTTGCCCACAGCATTTTGATTCAAATAACTACTTCAAATTCAGTTACCGCCCTTCGATATAGAAATTGACTGCTAAGGGGCTCCATGCATTGATTTATGCACTGCACTGGATGTTGGAAAGCGTGCATGGTGCTGTCAGGATTACAAATGCCAATGATTGGTAGAAAATGTGAAAACATGTTGAAAATACTGGCAAGTTTGGCAGGGTATGCAGGCTTATTATGATTGTTACGAGTCATTTTACTTTTATGGTGTGCCAACCTGACCCACCAGGTCAAGGAATAGTGCGTTATTTTTTACTACTTAGGGTCGAGTTTGTGGGTCGGCTTATCTATGGTAATGGTGTAAACAGGCCAGCTGTTCTTGAAATGTCTTTGGCAATCAATCAAATTTGCAATGCGGGGGATTTGGAATCAAACACTAAAGTTGTGTTATGGATATGTTTACATGTGTTATTATTACTCAGCTCTTTTACAAGTGCTTATTACCAAAGTTAGTCATTTTCCCTTAATTTATGGTGTATATATAAACAGTGTTCACAGTATTTCTGGCTAGGTAAATAGGAACAATAAGGGTACCTTTACCAAGCATGTGTTCCAAATTTAATAACGTCACAGTTGTTGTTTAATTATTGTACAAGTTGTATGTGTGGTCGCAATTACAGTTTTATAAACAAATGCACCAACAAAACAAAATGCTTCACTAAGGTACTATTCATAATTTTTGGCTCAGGGGAATGATGATGATTTGGGGGGTGGGGTGGTGTGGTGGGGTGGTGGTGGTGGTGGTACTTACTTTGTACGTAACTTGATCTGCGCAATTGGGAACCAATCACATGTATCAACCAAGCCAGCTAGCCTGACCACGACAAGCATGGGTTACTGAAGGTACATTCTAACCTGGACCTTTGGGTACAAAGTTGAAATGATCTGTTTGATTGGCATTTTAGAAGTTGATGAATAATAAGAAAGGTATGATACTTATGGATAACATACCCATGTTGTCTTACTTAATCCCTGTTAGATGTATATGACAGGGTAGAGATTGCATTCAGAGTCCTTACTGGTAGAATCTCTGATCCTACTAGTAGAGATTGCAATCAGAGATACTACCAGTACAATTTCCAATTCAACTGGTAGAAACTCCAATTGCTCTGTGGGCAAACAACAATGACACTTTATTTGCTGAAGAACAATATGCAGTTTATGCAGGTATAAAACACTAGACTGTTTCCAGTTCAACAGATACGTTTGGGGTGGTCTGTCTCACAGTCCCTGAACCACATTATAATCCCTACTGCCAAACCCTATCTGCAGTGCTAAAGGCTAAATAAAGCAAGTCTAGATTTCCTCAGGTTCTGAATCTCTGGTCTCCCCGGGGCTCCTTTTCAGTTTAAATGGGCTTGTTTGTTTCTATCAAAATTATATACATTCAGTGACTAAGCATTAGTCTAATATTTGGGGCTAAAATACAAATGTGACTTGAGATCATATTACAATATTTACTTTTCCAGGAAATACAGAATTGGCATGTGGGCATTTTGAGAGGTTTTTTAGATGGGCTTTCCCAAAACTTTGTTAACTATTTAGTCTAAAGAAAAGTAGTTTGCTCTTCGTTCATTCAGCTGATTGAATTTACTCAGTTGAGTTTAGTATTTAGTATTTAGTATTTAAGTTATATCACCACATGTCATGCGGAGGAAAGCTCAAAGTTCTGCAGCTTTTTAATAAATGTTCAAAATCAATGGAAATATTCTCAGGCCATTTAACAACATGACTGGTCTGTTGGTCAGGTACTTGTAATGTCAAACAAAACAAGCCTCGAACAGTGTTCATGAATGGTGTTTTAAAGTAACAGGAAGTTAACAAGTAACATTGGGTCCTATAAGTTTCTGATGTCTGTCTGACCCATTGACTGACTGACTGAGTTTAGTTTTACGCCGCTTTTAGCAATATTCCAGCAATATCACGGCGGGGGACACCAGAAATGGGCTTAACACATTGTGCCCATGTGGGGTCTGACCCATTGAAACTTCACAGGACCCATAGAATAAAATTAAACACACATTTCAGATTCAACATTTCTTATAATTGGTATTGAAATTATTAACAAACGTGAGATTTATAACAGCAAACAAGTGTCACATGTCACATATAACAACTTCAGTCAAAGTCATCGTGAAATATACAGTCAGACACTGGGGCCAACAGGTTGTAGACTTCTATTGGACCGTTGGCAAATCTGCCGGATTTGTCAGAGGGTTGCAGTGTTCCAAATGGTGTTTCAAAGTCACAGGACATCAGATGTCTGTCTGACCCATTGAAAATGCACAGGACCCATGGAATAAAATTAAACACACATTTCAGATTTAATATTTCTTATAATTGACATTGAAATTATTAACAAACATAAGGTTCATAAACAGCAAACAAGTGTCACATGTCACATAAAACAACTTCAGTCAAAGTCATTGTGAAATACACAGTCAGACACTGGGGCTGGCGGGTTGTAAACTTCTGTCTGACCGTTGGCGAATCTGCCGGATTTGTCAGAGGGTCAGACGCTATTCGAGAACACTGGGGTCAGACGCTTTTCTTGAACACTGCTATCATTCATTAACAGATTCATACAGAACTCACCCCTTTGACACTCCAGCTCTATCTGCAATTATTTTGGTATCCTTGACAGCTCCATATGCTGTGAAAAACTGCTTCAACTCTGCCTCTGTTGTCTGCAAGAAAAGATCACCATTTTTCAATTAGTTATGTCAAATTTCAGAATTTCAGTAATACAGAAAAATATAGATATCTTGTTCGATCGTTATTGGTTCCCACCAAAAGGTGTTACAGAGGCCCAGATAAGCTGCATATCCAGGTAAAATATGCACAGAAAATTTCCAATTACGCATTGAAAAGTAATTGTTGCGTACCAATTACGCATTTAAAATGTTACATACGCAAAAAGTTTAAAACAAATGCGTACGGAATATATTTATAAAAATCAAGGATGAGTGATTTTTTTATGAAAGCATTTCCATTATATTTAAGTTGGTTTTGATTAGGTATGACATAATGCAGGACATACCTGCTTAATAAACTTACTCAATGACATAACACTTAGGTGAGTAAAATAACTGAAATACGCACATATTTGAAAGCAGTGGGTAACGGAAAATGAAATACCCACTCAACATTCATAATACCCACTCCCAAAAAATACCGTGGGTACAGTACCCACATGTCATGAGCTAAATCTTATCTGGAGCTCTGAGTGTTAATACCAACTACAGGAAGAAATGATGGGTCAAGCATCTTATCAATTCAAAACAGTCCCAGCGGTAACTGTAGAGTAGACCAACATGAATTCATTCCACTTGACTTCAAGAAAATTTTACCAAAATTTAAATTTTGGCCAAATGGACTAGCTACAAATTTACCATGCAAGGCAGCAAGCTAAATACATAAAATGTTATACTTACAGCACTACTTACGTTAGCCGCAATACCCCCTACAAATATCCTATTTGGAATGACTGTACCAAACTTTGGTGCATGGTTACCACTGAGGGGTGTGCCACTGGGGGTGGTGCAAGGGGAAACATCAGCAGATGACTGGAAGAAAGACAAACATTCATAAACAAAAACACTGCCTAGGAAACATGTAGCCACGGCCAAAAACATTTGCACATAATCCACCTTATACATATAATACAATATATGGTGATTCAGAGGGTCAATAATATTCAGTTCAATGTTACTTTGTTCCAAAATCCAAGGATAACATACTGATCCACAAGCATCAAACCTGATTGTATGCGACAATTAGTCCATTACAGCATCAAATAAATGTATTATGTAACAGTCACTGTAGATCAACTGAACATATGTACTATGTAGTCTACAATTTCAAATGTCAACTAAGGCAGACACTTAAAAATAAGCAAGTTAAAATGTAACATCGCATTGGCACTGTTTCAGCCATATATAGCGACAACTTGAAAAGTATGTTTCTGTGAACACTAATATTCAATAATTTCCAACATAGTTACCTGTGGATTTAAAACTAACAAACTGAATACTTTGTTCATTGTAATTCTTGCATTCTGAATGCAGCAAGATCAGTGTTACTGTATTCATTATTTGATGAATACAGGAATTTAACTGCCCAAAAGGGGCGGAATTCTTTCATCACTCTGTGAGGAAGTCTAAAAATACCAATAATTATTACAGTCAAGAGAAAATTGAAATCCCTTTCATCACACCTGTATCACCAAGAAATTATCAGGAATAGTAACATGATTGTGTTAGATTTGAAACATATCAACCACAAAAACAATGCTGACATATTCCCATCTCACTCAACAAACACTGACATCACACATCTCAGTCACACAGATTCCATGTCCTCAGGTTATATTTCTAACTTACATTTTTCCAACTACAATTTCTAAGAAAACAAATGCCATCTGAAACATCTGCCTTCTCCTTACCAATTCATAACAGTTGCAGTTTTTGTCATGGATTGTCTTCATTGGCAGGTCCTACGAACCCTGTTTGATGTTCTTCTCCATTGATGGGCTACCTACTTAGTGGGTGTGTCAGGTTATGTGCATTCAGTAAACAATCAGATTCATGTTAAGTAACAACATTTATTCCTAGACCTGGAATGTTTATCAATGTCATAATACTTGTCTGTTGTGATCTATAATAATTGTTTTATATTAAATTATTGTTGATAATGGTTAAATGCATTTTCCTACTAAAATTTAATAATAAGGTATGACTATTTTTTTCCATTTACTTGAGGCATTGCACAAGCTAAATTGATCCATACCGTCAAGTGAAAAATAAATAAATCAATCATTAGATGATCCGTATAAAATAACATGTTGAAAAAATGTAGACGTTAAGCTTCCTCAGTGTCATTTTCAGAGTTTTACTGTGTACTGTGTAACTAATGTGCTCAAATGCCTTGGCGAACTATCACTATACTTTCAGTGTCCAAAACTCATTAGGGGTGGAAATAACCCATTGCCCGATGCCCGAGTCCAGTGTATTTTTCTGTTGGGCAAGCAAGTTTGTATATCACACTGTACCGGTGTCCAATATTAATTATGTTGTTTATTTAAAAAGTCAACAAGAAAACGGCCGGTATAGTGGAAAGATTATCAGGGCAAGTGATTTTACATGTGCCACTGTACCGGAGTACACTAGCAATTTTAAAGTTATTTCCACCCCTGCTCATCCTGAAAGTATGGTAAGTGGATGAGTATATTTTAAGACACTTTTAACAATATTCCATCAATATCAATTCTAGGGACACCAGAAACTGTCTTCACACTTTGCACCTACGTGGGGAATGAAACAACCAGGCCTTTACCCACAAGGCTACCCCACTGACCCCTGAATGTATGGGGCCCTAGTCATGACAAATGTATAATTTGTGAAAACATCAATAAACCACAAGACAATACCCCTTATTTACCTCGTACACTTGTGGGTGCAAACAACATGGATAGAGAAATAATCATTGACAAATTTTTCATCGACAATATTTCTGTCTTTTAATTTAGCTTTATAGCCTGCCATATAAAAAACCCATGTCCTACCCAGTTGTTGATCACTTCAGTGACAAAGGTACAAGGGTATGCAATGAAACATAACAGTAAGATTAAATTGAAGCTAAGTTTATAATTTGTGAGTCAACTAAGTCATGGTTATTTCCTTGTTTTAGACATAAACTAGAAACTGGGTGTTTTAAGTTCAATCAAACTTATAGGAAGTAAATATACTGTTCATTGTGCAACTGAATTACGTGTAGTTTCAATAATTGAAGCAGTTATGCAAGTCTGTGCCAAGAACTTCATTGTCTGCTGACTGTGTGTGTCAGGGCTTTTCAGTTGCATTTAATCCAAACATGTGAACTGACCTAACAAGAACAAAATCAATTCTACTAGATTTGGATGGGGCTAGTGATATGAGTGAAACACTACCATACCTTTTAGCTCACATATCAATTTAGACCTGCACGTCAATTTAACACTAAATATAATTTTTTTGTAACCACAGTGTTAAAAATAAGACACAGGGGTCCCAAGATTCAAATACTCCAGCAGCAAAGATTACAGGTCCAAGAACACTCAAACTTCTAACACTGAGTTTACAATAGGGCTGCAAGGAATACACTATGTGGCGAATATGATACGTATCATGAATATTGGGTAACGAATATAAATAATTATTCACGAATACAATATTGTAGTTAAGTGATTGATGTACAATTTGGAATGCCCATGTTGACAGTTTTGATTTGTCACAGCAATAACCAGTGATCTCATGACACTCAAATTTGGTATGTAATAGTTATATGTATGATGTATTTGTCATGTTGGCCGTTGGCCTCTTAAAGAAATAAACATAAACAGTTATAGTCGACAGTACCATGTGTGGCCTTGGCAAACTAACATGACTTACGCTACTGCAATGCTAGTACATATTCAATCCTTGCATATCTCACTTTCCAAAAGTACACAAGGGTTCAACTTTGCTCAAGTAAAACATGCTCCCTTAAATAAATCGTAAATATTTGGTTCTGGTGACCACGATTAACGAATTTAATTCATGAAGGGCTACGGTTCGATTCACCGAATATGCAAGTGAATCATTACAGCCTTAGTTTACATCATATCACTTCCAAGGGATTGTGAACAATCCAGATGGTCTAGATGTTTTATTCAAAATCTAATTACTTTACATACCCTCTAGTCCAAAATAAGGGCCACATACAAGTTGAATATGACCAACTGTTGTCTTCCCACGTTAGCCTACACTTGCTAAAAGTTATAAGTATGTTAAGAAGAATATGGCAATGGGAATATTGCAGTTTACTATTTAGGTCAGTAAATATTTACATGTCAAGTTGCATCCATGGACAGTGATAAAATTTAGTGAAAGTCCTTGGGTCACCAAAACGTATGTCTTTTAGTACCCTGGGCCTATTGGAAACCCAGTCTTGACAGTAGATTTGATATGTTTATGATCATTTACTCTCTACTTTCTTTAATAATTTCAGGCACTCACATGCCATGGTCTACCTACAAATTAGCAGACACGTCATGGACTTTTGATCAAACAAGCTGGAAAGCTTTGGCACAAGCCTGATCTTTTGTTAACATAGTCCCAAATTAAAACTAGATACAGCCTGAAATCTGGTTACAGGCCTTACTATATTTGTCCCTGTTTATTCAAATTGATTACAACTGCCTGACACTTCACATTTGACTATGATAAGAGTCCTCCTTTAAATAACCTGACACTGGTAATAGTGAACCAAACTAGACTTTCCAGTGTTTGTTTCTTGCAACAGTTCCAACATTTATTGTCCTACCTGATATGGTATGCCTGGTAGAGGGAACCATACTTAAAATGCTTTAGGGAAGATGTGGCTACACCCACCATAACACACAATCGTCAGTGCTACGCTAATTGGGCATGTTGGCCTAATTGAATATTTAATAGTGATCCAGAGACGGATCCGTCAAAAATCTAAATAGTTCGGTTGCTGATGAGATCACATCGCCGGATTTCAATGCGAGCAAAGTACCCCGTTTATACGTCATTTAATTACGATGTACATTAAATATGGAATTAATAAGAACTGCACCACTGTCTTATCACGGCTGATTCCTGCTTGGCTAGGGATTTTAACTTAGTGTAGCCGACATCTAATTCTTGCAAACCTGTAAGTTCGGTTAGTCACAGAAACCTTCGAACTTTCTGGGTCCAAATCACAGTACAGAAAGCACACGGAGATATTTCTGCCAAGGTTTACGGAAGAAGAAATGTGATACGTTTCGACGCATGCTGCACTATATATAGCAAGTTCTTGGAGAAAACCGATCCAAGTGAAGAGCTTACCGCATTTGATCACAGATAACTTTCACGCTGGCATGCTTTACGAACGATGCACAGGCCCTACACATATTCACGAATTCTTCAGAAAATACGAAAGATACTGAATGAAAACTACACTCCATAATAAGTAGAAACACCAATAGTGTATATAAGTGAAAAAACTTTACTTACCATGATTCAACAGGGGAAAAATTCAATAGTCAACAACAAAACAAATGCAACAACTGAAGAGGTACAGTGGCAGCCGACAACTTTCAGACAGCACTAGTACCCCGGGCGGCATAGTCTATTACGGAGACGGGGGTGCAGGTACTTTCGGAATAGCCCAAAAATCACTAAAAGAGGAGAGGTGTTTCTCTGAAATAGATATAAAATGCGTAATTATATTTTCTATCTATATATTTAAGAGATTATAACGACAATTTAGATACTCTTTACACGAAAGTAAATAAAGTCAACCTACCACCCCCTCTTCTTTGCTATTATGGAACAATCTTTACATAGGTCTTCGTCTGCTAGGGATACCATTTCGCGCCAGCTGAAACGGAGAGCGTGTATCGTGTATCAGTCCACCAATGTGTCGTAAATATAAGTAAATGACAATAATTCACGCATGAACTAAGCATACGGAGACAATGCACTAACAAACGAGTTAAGAAATACAGTAAGTGCTTTGTAATACACACATCTTCAAATAACTTGTTTTTCTCAACCGAAACAAGTACTTATATGGTAAAATATTCCATATATTCTAAATGTCAGAAAGGCACACCCGACACAACTATGTTAAACTGTTAAGTTTTCAATTACGTTGTTGGAATACGGATTATAAAGGTGCATGGTGTTAGCAGTGTCCTTCCTTCATAAGATTTATAATACTATTATATATAGAAGCACTGTGTGTGTGTGTGTATGCATCATCTCTCTGTATATTATCTATACACCTTGTGGTTACATACTTCCATTATGCTATTCATGTTCACAGAGTGTGGAAGCTGTGTGTTAACATTATTTACGCAGTTCCACTTAAATATCGGTTGAAAGTCTCTCCATCAACACACACACACACACACACACACACACACACACACACACACACACACACACACGTGTGCACCAGTTGACTATATGTTCCTATATGTTCCTTCCACTAAAGACACTGTACCTGAGCTAATTAATATAGAAACACAATATTTTGCTACACAATTTGCCAGGAGGCTGTTCAACTGACAGATTAACTGCATAGGTTATATTCTTAAATCGAGAAATCCTATTTAAAACTTATATACTATTTATTAACAGATGCACATTTATTTAATGACACAACATATAGTTTATCATTAAATGACGTAACGCATATAGTTTATTATTAAATGACACAACATATAGTTAATTATTACATGACGCAACATAAATTTTGTGGATTTCGGTTTAAATGTACCAATCAACAAATAAACCTTCATAGAGTTGGAGGTTGAGAGGCTTCCCGAGCCTGAGCCACTATACCCTTTCCTCTTATTGTTGATCGGGACCGACCCTGTACGTTGGTTGGTGACTCTAACCTTACGTTCTTGCATGTACAATACATGACCAGGATCTAGATTTTCGGAGCTCTCTTAGCGCTAAGATAGTCGTAAGTGCCATACATTAACATTAACTTGCGACTATCTTAGCGCTAAGAGAGCTTCGAAAATCTAGGCCCTGGATCTAGATTTTCGGTTTCGACTAAACCGGATCGGATGGTCAGGTGTGTATCCTCCATTTAGCCCCAAGAGTAGGCATGGACATGGGAACAGACGTCCGGTCGTTAGACCCATGCTCGTAAGAGACGACTCAGGTGTACGTGGTCAGGCTCAATGACCTGGTTGATCACGTGCCCCGATGGCTGATGTTTTACCCTCTGTCTACTCCAGACTCGATTATTCAAGATCCAACGTGATGTCGCGAGAATGTTGAGTGCGGCGTAAGACAAGATTCATTTACTCACTTCCGTGAGACGCAGACACTGATTTGGGCGACACACTGACAAACCGCCCTAATGTTAACCGACACTTTCAAGCATGGTTGGGAAATTAGATCTGAATGAACTTCTATTTTTAACTGAGACTTTGAGAAACTGGAGTGAAGGGATGTAGAATATGAAATTAAAGATAACACACATTTATAACATCTCACTGTAAACAATATGAAAATAAAATAATAATGTGTCGAAACACTACGTTTACATCAATGACATGTTTTCACAACACTGTACTATCTATACTATGATGGTTAAAGCCTGCTATTACACAAAGATGGAGATTATCAAGAAAAACAACCCAAAAAACCCAAACCAACAAAAACCAACAACAACAAAAAACAAAACAGGAAGGTGGGTTAATATTTGGATAGGGTATTGTCCTGGTGGGGAAATGGTACGTGGGGAATTGACTTGTTGGGGAAATAACTGGAATTCGACTGCAGAGTTCACGAACGAAACACTTTAAAAAACGCTGAACAGTGCAAACATAGTCTTTAGATATAGCCAACCCAATCGTAAGGCACTACAGGAATTTGACAGACATCCAGTTATGGCGATATCTGTAGTTGAAAGTTCCATGGTGGAAACTATTGCTGGGGAACAGGGACACCCTCCCACGAGTAAGTGAGTTTTGATTTATAATACATTCTCGAGTTATTGATCACTGGCTGTGAGAATTCAATAAGGCTGAGATTATGGATATTTGAACTATTGCTATATAGGTGTATGGTCGTTAAAGCAGCCGATATGTTTAATAGAACTAGCATTCAGAACGGCTGTACGATTTATTAACACCGTATTGCGAAATGTCACGAAGAGCACCCGCTTACAACGCCAGCACCATTCGACAGGGTCATCATGTCTATCAAACACCTTTAATCACGTTACTCCATGTGTGCATATCCCCTGCAATCTGGTGAACCCACAGTAAATGGTGCCCCCTCGCCCAGCACAAGAAGCTATGTCGATGTATGAATGGACACCGCATGTATCTGTTTATATGTTAAGTTATATTACGTCCAAACCACACGTGCTGTTATATCCCAGGAGTTAATATACACCAACAGTTACATATATACTATCTAATGTCCATCAGTTGACCATAACTGCTGTAATGACTACTGACCTCCCTGGAGTTGCCATATGAGACTCTGCAACATTGTACATAAACCACGTGAACGTGTCAGGCGGTGAACCCACATTTACTGGAATGGACCATGCACCCTGTTATTATGCAGGGTTATACGTTTATACGGTAGGGCTGTGAATTGGCAAATAAATTGTTTTGCAATAAATTGCGATTCTGGTACCCGTATTCCGATACGTATTGTGCTGTATTGGAAGCCTAAGCGTTTGACAGTGAGTGACATCGATTGTACATGGAGAGCCTATTTTCTACACACTACAGCCATAAAAATATACTTAATGGATTCGACAAAAGAAATTTCGAATTTAGATTTGATTTTTGGGGATTGTATTTTCTTATTTTTAAGAAGAATTGTATGTAAAGTATGTTGTTATAAGATGTCTATTAATTACAATGGAAAGCATCAGTGTGAATGAAAGTCGAGATCTGTGTGGATTTTAACTTTAACCATAGAGATAATCACCAAACTTCATATATACTGTATTACCCAATATACCAGGCCCCGATTTCTCGAAACAAACTTAAGTTTTTTACTCAAATTTCAAACTGAGTTGGACAATTTGAAACAGATGAATTTTTAACTCAACTGCATTTTTTGAATAAAAAAGCCCAAAACAACTTAAGTAATCTGTCCACCAAACTCAAATTGTCTGCTATGTTTGAGTTTAATATCGATTTTAGTTCATTCTGGGAAATGCAATTTCTCAAATTTGAGTAAAAACTCCAACTTAAGTCGAAACTCAGACTTAAGTTTGTTTCGAGAAATCGGGGCCAGTTCTGAGAAAACATTGCAATACGTACGTATCGTTTGAAGGCGTATTGCGATATATATCGGTATACCGGTAATACCGTGCAGTCCTACTGAACGGTATCTAGAAGTGATACGCTCTTTATTTGAGGAACAGGACGTTTCGGTTATATCTTACTCTATTCATCAGATGATTCAAATACAAAAAGTTGACATCCACAACTTCTCACCTTTATGTTATACAATTAGGTGGTGAAACTGCTGCATTCAAGTTAAAAAACACTACAGAAATATGTTCCTTTGAAACCCGGTGACTTCTCGCACACAAATGTGGAGCTGGTTCTACGTGCTTACAATGTTTTGTGATGCGACTACATTCCAGGCGGTAACTAATAGCCCACTTCAGTGAGGAAGGCAAGCTGTAGGTAACCTGTTTCAAGCGTTCATCGTGAATGCACAGTATTGTTGAAGCCAGATTAAGTTCGGTAACATAGCGGGTATGACTAATGGGGCGGTGGGTAGCCTAGTGGCTAAAGCGTTCGCACGTCACACCAAAGACCCGGGTTCGATTCCCCCACATGGGTACAATGTGTGAAGCCCATTTGTGGTGTTCCCCGCCGTGATATTGCTGGAATATTGTTAAGTACGGCGTAAAACTAAACTCACTCACTTACTATGACTGGTGCCACATCTAACGCTACACATACAGTGCTTGGACAATCTATTTACCATATGGGAGGGGAAGACAGTTCTAAAATATATATACGTCCTTACATTATAGCTAAAAGGGAATGCATTGTTTCAGTTCCTATTGTCCAATGCAAATGCAAAGCGATACCGCGACATGTTCATCCAAACATATGGCGCTCCACATATCAGAGCTTAACATCATATGCCTTTAAACAGGGCACCCGAAACCACTCCATGTAAATATGTTCCACAATAGCCCACTGGACAGTACGCCATTAGTATGTCCCAAACACACATATGTAAAGAAAAACAAAGAACGCCCCATCCCTATTAAAACCAGAGAGAGCTTCACCCACCCACCTCCTCCAAAAGAAACCTTAAAAAAAGGAACAGGAAAAAAGTACAAACCTCAAATTTACAATAAAAAAACCCAAACAAATCCCCAAAACAAACAGAAATACGTATAACTGTTTTGCTCCATAGTTTTGAAAAATGACGCGTTTAACTTGTGTTAAAGAGAAGAATTTGCATTAGTCGGGGCGTGGGGCATTATCATGCTTACACTCTCGTGATTATCGCTTGCAGGCGCTCCTTTAATCATTCATGTACAAACACGTTTTATATGTGTTATTTCTTTGAAAACGAACGTTGAAGGTTTCAGGCACGAATA